TCTGAATGACAGACCAATCGTGATGGGACCCCGGAAGATGACTCCGGCTGTGTGCCTTGGGTGCTACAAGGTCCTTCAAGGCCAAAACAGCGGTCAGGTGATGGAGTGCGAGAAATGCGGATGGCCGATGTGCGGGAATGAGGAATGTTTGAAAGACCCTGCACACGCGAGGGAATGCCATCTGACGATGAGGCATCGCAAGTCCAAAGTCAAGGTCAAGATCCAGGACTCACAAGGCTTGAACCACATGTACGAGTGCATCACGGTCCTTAGGTGCCTGTCGTTCAAGGATGGAGACCCGATGAAGTGGAATCTTATCATGGGTAAGCATCCAAGTCCAGATCACCTGGAATCCAGAGGGATTCCAAATAACATGGGGCCTTTGCATCGACATTCCAGGATCAGAAGACATCGCGATGAGGTAGAAATCCTTCAAGTCCAATGGATAGGAGAATAGTGTTCTCCACCAATTATTAAGTTATACCCACCTATTGTATATACTCCACCGTGTGATTGACTGAAACTCGTAGGGCACATTCAGTTGTGACCCAGATCATGACCTCAGATATGGCAAAGTACTGAATGCGTTGTGGACTGCTGACAAGGGTCATTTGGGACCGGGACTTGGGTGTCGGAATCACTGTGGTCCTCAGTGAGTGATGTAGTTACCAGGTTATGTAGTTGCCACTGAGTATATGGGGTCCATTTCGAAGGCTCCCCCTGGAGGACTGTCTGTATTTACCAAGTAATATATATAAATAGTTCATATTATATCATCCCTTCTGCTTTTGCCCCTGACCAAAGGGAGTCTTTAGGTTTTTGGGAGGTATACCTCTGAGGTCCTTCAGCTAGGGAGAGCTCCAACTTCTGTCAAAGAGGGATAACAGCTCATGGACGCTGGCAAGGAATGCCTACTTATGCGCTTGACCCCTCCCCTAAAAAAAAATCCGAGTAGAGATGGCATTGGTGTCCGGGCAGCATTTAAGTTTTGCTCCTATTGGTTTCACCGTATGAAAAGTAAGTGATAGAAAGCTGGCTGAAAGAGATGTTTAAGGGTACCTTATCATGCTCCTGATCAAATTCTTAGCCCCACTGACCCATCTGCACATATTTGTACCCGCTGAGAAGAAAAAGCATAACGAAGGGGAGCTCTAGTCATCAAAACGAATATTGATTTTGTTAAAGTGAATGAACACGACTGTATAATTGTGGACGGGTACATGTAGTGATTGTTTCGTAGAGCAAAGTCGGGCACATAGTGGGTATCATTGTGCGAAGAAATAAGAAAGGAGAAGAAGGAGCCTCATCACTATAGTCGGCAGAATCAGAGAAACCCCATCTCCCAGCTCGATTTTGCGAAAGCGGTCTCTCATCGCTTAACTGTTCCGCCGTCTGCATTTCATTCAGGACGAGATTGCGATATCTTTAATATCAGGAAAATCTACTTTATGACGAGGAAAGTATCCATATAGGAACTTGTGGCTATCAACATAGCGACATTTCCTCCTCCCGTTTTAATAAAGCCTATGTTGGTTGGAGCTCACTTGGTGTCCTCGTAAATTCTCGTGTGTGCAACTGGGCAACTGAGGGTAAGCTGCACGCATATGGGCTGTATGTCTCTCCAAGATGAACATCTGCATGTGCACAATAGGGAGATTGGGGTTGCAGAAAATGCGTACATGTTAACATAGGCATTTTCTGCTATCCCCATCCTACCGTATCCTGCAAATGTTAGATTTTACATCCTCAATGGAAATATTAATAATAGAGGGCAGGTGAAAGAACTTCTACGGGACTTTAAAAAACCTTTATTTAACCCTCATTTCATGAATTAATTATGCTCTTAGATATTGTTTGGGGGGGGGGGGGGAGTTAGGATCCTGAACACTTCCTTAAAACACGATTTTAACAGTCTGATTAACAGAAGATTATTCCTGTTGTTACGAAGCAACCCAAACAACATGTTTATATTAATTTTACGTAAAATGAATGTAAACTTTTTGTCCATTTTATATCATTTTTACGCAAACCATTGTCAAGAAAATGTCAACATGTTTGCAGAAATGTCACCTCTGTGATATGTAAANAACCATTGTCAAGAAAATGTCAACATGTTTGCAGAAATGTCACCTCTGTGATATGTAAACGGTGATATAAAATTAACGTAAATTTTACGTAAAATTGACATTCCCGTTTGCAATCCAAACAGCATGTTTACATTCATTTTGCATAAGATTTATGTTAATTTTACCCTGGCAGTCATGCGTATTTAAAGAGTCCACCAGTACCATTGAAGAGAATTGACATACTGAATCTCCTACCCCTTTACATTCTTCAGAACTCTAGGGTGGTTGGACGCGTACACCAGTACTCAAGAGTACCAAAGTGCCCTACTGCTTCCTCCTCCCGTACCGTAACCTCGGGAGAAGGAATAGATATTCAGAGAAGCTTTCATCCTTTTAGAATAGAGAAGATATAGTGTTTGTTGGGCTGGGATTCTACTCTTCCATAATCCCGTGCACTGCTGTAATAAAAAGCTTAACTTCAGCATTTAATGATTCCCTGAGTTATATATTATGAAAAAATATATAATAATCTCATGTTTTCCATAATGGCAATCGCAAGAAATTTACATTGTTTGCAAAAAATTGATATCTTGTTTACGTGAACATGCTGCTTGGGAATACCATGCATCGCTGGTAACAAACGTGGTCAATGACACAATTTGACGTGAAAACTATTATGTTGCTTTGAATCCACATCATGCAACATAGGGTTAACATTTTGGAGGTTGAACATTTCTGCACAACTTGCTGTATTCAGGTTGAGCGGTACTTTTTGTGAATTTAAATAATTAGAAAGTTGATTCTAAGCATATTTCTTGCATTATTTATACATGTTTACCAATTTTTGGCATGGTTGATGTGGTGGGATATTCAGATGATAAAATTTTGTTTTGGGTCTCATTCCTATAGGTTGGTATTTGAATTAAGTACCTTCATGTTCACTGGAGTTCTGATAATCGTTCGGAGAAGTTTTGCACAAAATGAAAAATTTATCAAGGTATTTTACGTAAATGTAAGTCAAAACATGTCAAAGAGATGCCACAACTGTTTTTCATAACCACTGATAAATTAGACGGTAACCGTCAAGCGTTAATGTGTTAGCGTTAAAAACTGATATACAGTATCAGTGCGTAACTTGTGAGGCAAGGGATGGCACGTACTGAAAAATCAGTGCGTAACCGCTAAAGGGTTAAATGGCTTATTTTTTCAGACGTGATGCCCAGCCTATCTGTCATGAATTTCATCATGAAACGAGTAATTTTCTACTTTTGTTCATACTCTGAAATATACCATTTTCATCTGCCATTTATACTGTATACAGGACAAGTCATTGCGCTTATATCTATAATGCATTCATGATTATCAACGTTATCCGAATTTTCGATACAATTTCTGTTAGTGGCAGAGACTGTTCTAGGCCAAATGATATTCCGGCATGTCTCGTTGAATTCTACATATTGAAACCCATTGAAACCCATCTATCGAGTGATTATAATGTTGTAAAATCCATATTTTTTCCATTTTAACGGAATTTGAACTAGTTCCAGTTGGAAAATTAAGCAATTTCCAATTGGTCCTGGTTGGAAGCATCTCGTGGGACCAGCTAGAACTAATCATAATTTCGGGACTTTCCAACCGGAACATTCTCTCATACCAAAGCGGTCCTGATTGGGGAGTGTCTGAGAAATTTATTGGGAACATTGAACGTGTTTTTGAAAAGAATGTACATCGTATATATCTTCACGTTCTCTGCCTCAAAATTTGGACAGCATAGAGGCATGTCTGCCGTTCTCTCTGCCGTATCGTAGAGAACAATGTAAAAAACTGGGTGAGCCCATTCATCGGTTCACTAATCAAAGAAAAATTGTGAAAAATGCTTGAATTCAAGTTTTCTCGAAGGTCTTACTGTCCTGAGAAGAGATGCCCTCGCCCAAGGTGCGCTGACAGAATCCCCTTCTTTACTAACTGCATTTAAACAATTCACAAATTGCCCTTATTTTTAACTTTCATATTGTTCTTTAAGGCTGATTGGTCTGTGAACTTTTTGCCTGCTGCCTGAGAGAAGTGTGCGATCTGAAAAAGCCATGGAATTAAAATATGAAAACGAAAAATTAGTCAAAACGCCATTCTGTCTCATTCGTCAATAGCCTCTGGGAATCTTCTAGAATCTAGCAGATAGTCCCGTTCAAACCTGTGATAGCGAAGTAATTGTCAACTTGTTTCGAAACGCAGTTTCCTAATCATATAATTTCAGGGAGAGAGAAATTTGCCGCTCAAGAAATGATGAGGATACAAGGAAGAGACGAATTTTTCTTGTAAGAGCGAGGAACAGAGGGAGAGCAAGCGGAAAACTCACCTGCACTGATGGCCGTCATACAGGGAATGATCCTGGAAGGGATGTTGAAGATTGTCGAAGGATGTCGGCGATATACATAGATTTTGAGCGAGCAGTTGCAGCCCTTCTCGCCTGCCATGTAGAAAGAGGCGAAGAGTTTTTGAGACGGAGAAAATGTGTACTACACAAGTCCTGTCCGACTTTTCATTCGAGCGCCTCACCTGGGAATTCACGTTTCACCCGTGACAAAATTAAAGTGTGACAGCTTTTTCATGACCAATGCGTACACCGTAAACTCGTTAGGGAAGAATTAGTCAAGGTTTTTTCTCCATCCATATTTCCCCCCCTCCAACAACTATGTCAGCTAGCCAGCTAAACATGTTAGTTGTTTCATGGGAAAAGCAAAGGCCCAACAACTTCCTGTTATGCATAACCACATTATATCGCGACTGACACAGTGAGCGGTCGGACGAACGGAGAAGCGGTAACTCAAAGTAAAAGAAAATCCATTATTTCCCACGGCTGAAAGAAAGACTATCTATTCAAAGTAGCGCTGAATATGGATTTCAATTAATATTAGTGCAAATATTGTTATTTTTTCTTTGGATGGGAGGAATGGAAAGTCATGAGGAGGAACGCCGAAAGAACTCAGAGAAGCACGAGATGGACGAGGTCAACGTGGTCGGGTTCATCCATAAAGTCCTGAAGCTTCACGAGGACTTCACCGCAGCCGAGATCCACAAGGTCATCGGGGCAATCGAGGTCAATGGGTTCGAGGTCCCCGTGGGTGAAGAAAACTTTGCTGTTGCACTATATCCACGCGGCTATCTCTTTCAACATGATTGCGTCCCCAATTGCGAGAAGTTTCTGAACAGAGAAAGATCATTGTACCTAAAGGCAGTCGTAGATGTACCCAAAGGCACTCCTTTGTCTATCAGCTATACAGATCAAATGTGGGGCACCGTCAATCGACAATATCATCTCATGGAGAGCAAGTACTTCACCTGCACCTGTTCCAGGTGACTTTTTTTTGGGAATTCTGCATGTGATAGCTTCCTTAGAACTTCCCTCCACGATTCTTCATGGCAATTTGGAAAGTTATCAGAGGACACATTTTGCATTCACTTATCTGCGGCTCCAATAATGGTGTCAGCTTCAGATTTGAAGAAAAAATTTTCAGTAATAGTTTCAGTCGCAGGATCGGTATGAACTTTCAGTTCTAGTTACCTGAGTACTTATAAAGTAAAAAGCATCATGAATCAACACAGCCATGACTATGCCTCAATAAGACTCAGGATTGAACCGACGAAACCAGCCCTCAAGCACCTGTTACGCAGCGGTTTACTTTTCTTTCTATTTCCTGCTGCATTTTAATCATGGACAGGAATGCACATTCGAACACCTGTGGTTTCAGTCGTGGAAGACATTATAGCTTCAGTTTCAGTAGTGAATCTGGTATTTGAGTTGTGATTACGCTTTGTTATGGCAGTGAAGTAGATCGAAGCATTGCGGTTTCAGTGGGGTATTTAGGACTTCGGCTTCGGTTCTCAAAGGAGTTTTCGTTCTAGTTTCACTAAAAATGTCCGGTTTTAAGGGAGCTTTCGTTTCTATTTTTAGCTTAGGAGTTTCAGTGTCCAAACATTTTAATTTCAGTGTTTCGGCAGTAGCATGGCGTTTCAGCCTAATTTCAATTTGGGCTAACGGAAATCTAATTCCTTTAAGTTTTTGGTAATTTCAATCTCAGGTTTTCGAAAAACTATAACTTTCTCGAGGCAAGCCGTAAGGCATAAAGCACTGAAGCAGTAAATAAACCAAGTGTATTGATCTCAAGGGCTAAAAAAAAAAGAAATACACACAGAAACTCCAGTTAAAATCTTTAATCCCCCATCGGCGAAGCGCTCAAAATGAAACCCACTAGCAAACATGGGAAAATTGCTCTCGTTTTTGGCTCTTCGCTGTTTTTCAAGACATAGAACTTAGTCTTGAAGAAACTACAGCCCAACTCTATTATCACATTTTTTCTCTGTTACAATTTTATGCACAAATGGAAACGAAGTTGTACTTGTTTATTTATTTATTTATATTCAGTAGTAGGAGATAGTTTCAGTGTCCGTTTCTGTTATATTGTAACCACACTCGTCTGGTGAGTTCAGTTTGCTAACTGAAAACCAATCCAATCAATCTACTCTGTTTTAACGGAGGCAGCGTCAGCGCGGTATCTTTTTCCTTTCAATGCCTCTCACGAAACATCACACACTCGTAAACTCGTCTCCCTTTCTTGCGGCTTCTACATCCTCTTAGAGAAGATGCGATGCGAAAATAATTACTTCTAATTGAGCTTTCACTAATTGACACTGACCGAAAAATTAATGACTTCCATGGACAGTCCTCACCTGGCTCAATCTCCGAACAAATCAGGGCGCATTAGATTTTCATCCCCTAAAGAGAGGGATTGAAATTTTCTCCTGACCACGCTATTTCCAACATATGGTACGTTGTTACGAATAGAGAAAGGAGTAACTTTCTTCCTCCGGATAGGTGTTCCGACCCGAGGGAGCTTGGGACGATGTTCAGCGCGGTGCGTTGCAACCGTTGCCGCAAGGGGTATCTTCTCTACCATATGGGCAAAAACAATGACACTCCGGGAAAAAAGTGGAAGTGCGACGGATGCGACAACGAGTGGTCGAACGAGGAAATGGAGCTTTTCATGGAGAAGATCGGAGAGAGATTGATTCGGATTCCCCGAGGAGACGTCCCAGGATACGAAGCTTTCATCGAGAAACAAAACCACGTTTTGCATCCCAATCACTTCTTCATTGTGGAAGTGACGAGGGCTATTTGCGAATCCGACCTCAATGCAACAGGGATGGATCTGCATCGTAGGGAAGACCATTGCCGCCGATTACTCTCCCTAGCCAACATACTCTGTCCGGGTAGGTCTATGGATCTACTGTGTTGGCTACTTTCTTATCTCAGCTACCTCTGTGGTAGTTGAGAGAAAGGGAATGAGTGCTTTCCGTGCCCGTTCCCATCAATCACAGAATCATTTGAGAAAATTATCGTTCTCACGATTCATTTGTGCATATTTCTTATTAATTACAGTAGCTTGTTTGAGTAAGTCAACGATTCTGGCTTTAATGTAGCAATCAGATGAAGTTACAGTACTGTATTTTCAATCAAATTATTCCTTGTAATAATGTAATTTCTGTTACCGTTCCCATTTACACTCGAGGTACTAACGAATGTAATCTTCTTTAGCTTCCTGCATTCAATTCGTCCTTGTAGGAATGCTTTTCTGTTTTGACAGTTCAATTGAATTTAGCTCATGCTTGTGGCTAGGCGTTCATTTCTCTTTCCCCTTCCAATGTTGCTCTTTATCACTTGTATGAGGGTACTTACGCACAGCATGGCTCAAGCTAAACGCTTCATAGCGTTCTATGACGAAAAAGTACAAGTATAAACGTCAGAGAAAAGAGTCTATCCTGTCCAGCTCTTCAGTTGACAGCTACTCCACGAGTCCTAACGAATGTCTTGTAGGAAAATATATATCATTTTCCCCTCTCTTTATGTATTTTCTTCGGTACTTAGGTCTGACGATGGCGAGGGGGATTCACTCGTACCAACTGGAGGCCCTCTTATCAGCCGAGGCGGAGGAAGTGAAGGAGGAAGAAAAGGACAAGAAGCTCCAGTTGCTCCTCGTACGTCTTGTTACCATATTCTTCCATAATATCCAGGAACTTGCCTACTGAATTTCATGCACGTTAAGTATGGCAAATGTAATCGGGGAGCTGATATGAAAGTTCTCGTCCGCGTCCGAGCTGCCACACGATGTTTTTGAGAAGATGCACTGCATTTAGTCGAAGACTACCGTTGCCTGCACACCAAATCGGTCTAATCCCGTCTACTCTAGTAATTGGACATGGGCAATGGGGATCAAAACGTTTTGACTGGACTAATGATGACATGTGCAGGTACCCAAAGAGAGCCACATGAGGTGAGCAAGCGCTTAAGTAAGTTTGCCTCATCTGCTCTCTTACTTAATGCTTCTTCATGCGGCAGGAGAGATTGCTAGGTATGAAAGGGAACTCAAACATCATCCGTCATTTTCGCAGTGTTTCCTTTAACGCCCAGTCATATTGGCTGCTGTGTTGTGTTGTGCAGCGTGGTTGCTGCACAGTTAAAATTAAAATTAAAATAAAAAAACATTATGGAAGATACCGATAACCGTGAATATCACTGGTGCTGAGAAACGTTCATTTCCCGTCTCTCTCTCTCTCAACGGATTAAATTTTCCCTTTCCTACAGATTCGTGACAAAAAAGGCATAATATCAATTAGAAGCATATTTCATAACGTAGCTATGATAGATGTAAGAAGATGAAATGAGACCATCCCATTGTGATTACAGGAAGCGACGAAGATGGGGGAAGAGGCGAAGAGATGCCTGGAAAACAAGCATTCGAATGGACCCGATGTTCCCATTTTCCACATTTTACAGGAGGACCTCAAGAATCTCCTCCATCGAATCTCACTTCATCAATCATCCGTCTAATAAAGAGGGGCGGAGGAGGATGCATGCGAAGCCTGGGTTTCATTTTTATCTTACTACCCCCAAAGATCCGTAAACAGATTTAGGATCTTTGTAATCCACCTGTTTACGGATTTCCCCCACTCGGTCAAGGTTTTTCCGGCACACATCCCCTCCGGATCTGGAGCTCATCTGAAATAGGCCGTCAACAATTGAGAAAACAACACTCTCGGTATATGGAAAATTGATCGAAAACGAGAATAGAACGAGAACGAAATACTGTATTGTCTTATAAAAATTTTCTTTTTTAGTGTAATCATGCAAAGCGCGAATACAATCATTTTCGCGTAACGGCGGAAGGAAATTCCCCGGCAACGTCAATACATTAATTCATTCGTAAATTGGAACTTCAGGTGACAGACTAAAGTCAGCAGGTTATTTTCTATATAATAATAGCTGACGTTTGCGTTCGTGTCTTTGTCTGTCTGTCTGCCTGTCTCCCAGTCCGCCCCCTTAGACCTACGTGAGCTGCTTCTTCCAAATCTGATCCAATCGGTCCGAATCGAGTCTCAACCCGCACTCGACCCGAAACCCGATTGGTTACTCGACTCGCGGTTCGGACCGGGCAGGCCTACTGCCCGTCCAGAGAGCTCTTAGCTACAGAACTCGGAGGCTCTACGACGCGAGGGAAAACACGTGATATTTCCTGGAAATAAAGCTGCATTATCGCATAGTTCTCTGTTCAAAAATCCACCCTACATCTTCAACTTTTAACTTAGGAATTCCAAATTCGAACTGCGTGTTTCACTTGAATGCCATAAGACGGAACTTGGTGAAAATTGGCACATGAGGGAATTGGGGGCCTCTGATGACGGAACGCATTCTCTGTTGTCGATTCAACACATGGCTGTTCCCAATTTGAAGGGTATGTCTCGAGTGCTATGAGATGGGACTCACTGATAATTGGCATGTAGGAAAATTGAGGGTATCAGATGACAGGAAGCATCTCATACTCTTCATCCGTTACTTGGGTGTTTCTAATTCGAGAGGCGTGTCTCATTTGAATACTTTGGTATGGAACTCGATAAAAGTTCGTGCGAAGGGAAATGTGTACGTGTGTGTGTGTACGTGGGGCGGTTGACGGGGCACATCACATAATATAGATCCGAAACATGGCTGTTTGAAATTCTGTATCTAATTTGAATGATATGGAATAGAACTTGATCAGCCTCGAATAGGAACCGTGCATGTTTCACAAGCAATAGTTAATTGGAAGCAATTATGAACCTAAAATAACGTTGCTTTAGGATTGCTTTCAGCTGCACAAGTTCCAAATTTATCCCAACAAATCCTGAAAAATTCGTGTAGATGAATGAGTCTTTACCCATTCGGCAGCCATTTTCATGGAAAATTGGCGGCATGAAATGCTGTCCCTTGAGGCACACCGTGCATCACCAAGGTGACTCACGTAACTGCGAGTACGAAATGCTTCTTTCTGGAATGTCACACAGCTCAGACCACTCTCTGATCAATCAAAGCAGAGAACAAATCTAGCGAAACCGCACAATAAATAAAATGAAGCGGAATCGTGAAGCTAAGTCCCTACTACGAAGAAGAAAAAGAAAATTCGGAAGATCAATATTACGCTATCCGGAAAATACAAGAAAAATCCTCATGGTCGCAAAGGAAAATGCTCTCAAAAATGCAGCTTCGTTTTTTTTTTTCCTGTCATAATCTACTGTTTTAGAAATGGTGTCATACCTACTGACCACTAAATGAAGCTCCTCGCTCAAGACATTTATGAAAAAGAAGCGCTTTCGATATCAATATTCTTGACAATCGGGTGAAAATGGGCTTGTGGCAACCACCGACACCTTCCATCGCTGTCAAGGAAATTCCCATCGCGAGTATGAGTACCTTTTCATTGTGGCAGCATTCTCCCGGGTAGACCCAATGTTATGAAGTTTAATCTGAATTAGTTCAAACCCTGGGCACTCTGATCAATAGTCTAATACGTGATAGTTTCCCGCATTGGCAGGAGGTCTCTTGGAATGCTCCGTCTGGCTATTGATAGGGATCATCTTCGGTTGAGGAGACCATTGCCGGATTGAAGGTCAAAATGATATCGCAAAATCTTCACCTTCCTATTTATTTACAGCGCATCGTTAACACTAATGGTAACGCCAGATCTACGTTACTCATGTCAAAGTTAACAAAGTGGTTAAAAGATTTTCCCATTGAGTGATTTTAATATATCTTTTAAAGAGCTGGATCTTGTTGAGTTTTGAAATGTAGGATGATTGATTTATGAAATGAGGATGATGAGGAAATTTCAAAGAAACTGGTGATTGAGCCAAAAGGGAAAGTATTAGATGAATGATGAGTAGACAACTATAAAGGAGGAGGGAGGAAGGGGGGAGGGGCGGGGGCAGGGGTGAAGACAGGGGTGAAGATATCGGTGGGGGTGAGGGCAAGAGCAGGAGAGAGGAGAGGGGTAGGGCAGGCTCGGGGGGACAGGGGTAGGGACACGGGCAGGAGCAGGGGTAGGGACTGAGGAATGAGGGACCCAGCCGCTCCCAGAGCCAGAGCCATCTTGGCAATCATTCAGTCGATCATATCCCACTTTCCGTTTCTTTCTCCCTCTTCCTTCACTAATCCCATCAACGTACAAAGCAAGAAAGATGGAAAGGTAGGTGAGGCTTCGTGAAGAATTATCGCCTTCCATAGACCCAGTGGCGTAGGCAGAAAATCGGCAAGGGGGGGCGGGGGGGTTGAGGCCAGGTAGACCAACCCTATGCTTAGCTCCACCACCCGGAATTTACCTTTTTACGAAATCGTGGTCTGGCATCTTGGATCTGTGAATGGACATTGGACTTTCCTTGAAAGGGGGATAGCTAAAACTGGAATTCCCAAGGAAGGCTAAAATATGCCTGTCTGTCACTAACCAGGAAGCCCAAGGGAGGGGGGGGGGGGTTCTGACCCCCTAAACCCCCCCCCCTTCCCTACGCCACTGCATAGACCTGGTGGAGAGGGGGATTCCCGTTTGATAAAGATCTCGTGACGTCATCACTTATGACATTCTTCCCTGTTTACAGAAGAGAAGGCGCGGATCCAATCTTTTGCATACTTTTGCGTCTTCTGAGGTGCAAACCTTCGCATATATACTAACAGGTACCAACTGCTCCACAATAGGCTGTAAATTGTGGGGCCGAGTCATGTTACTCTGAAGGGACTCTAATCTTCCGTCCATTTTAAACGTTCGATTTCTTCTGAATAATCGCCGATACTCTTGCTTTGATACGACAAATTCGGATGAAATTTCACATTTCTGTTAAAACATATCTGTCTATGCACGGAGCAAGGTTGCTGCAGCCAGAGACGAAACCTATGTGGGTTAAAGTCAAGGTACTTTTTTTTGCAGTTACAACTCATGTGTACTAATAACTTGAACATTAATCTTTAAAAAAAAAATACCGAAGAGTTGAGTAGCTTAGAAGAAATTTGATGCAAAAACTCGCAGGTATGATAACTCTAAACAGAGTAAACTCGTCAAAAGCCTAAGTGCTAGGAGGGGGTCAATTCAATCCAGTTGACCATTGGTCATCACTCGTGCCAGTTGACTTTTACGCGATTATTTTATATTCAGCTGCGAAGTAATGTCGAGGCGACGTCGTCAAAAGCAGCTTCAACGTGAAAAAGCGTGCAAACAAATGCGCGGGAAGTCTAAGGGCAACAGTATTGTATCATTCACAGGGGCGCAACCTAGGAAGGGGAAAAGCCCTGGGGGAGGGGGGGGGGAAGTAAGAATGAAGGGCAGCATTATGAATGACCAGGATGAGGCATAAATGCTTCGACGAACCCTCCACCTCGCTCGTTAAGCTCAAATCACACTAGGTTCTTCGCCCAGCAACCCCCCCTCCCTCCCCAACTTATGTCAGAAGTGAAATTAAGAGCCGAATTTTCTCGGCAACAATCGAGTATTTAATTTATTAGTCGATCGTAAGGCGTGAGGCTTAGCCCAAATTCTGATATCTGTTTCTGGATAAAAGGTTGTACTATCACTACCACAGCCACTGGCTTCAACTTTCTCCACTCTAACGTTATCGCCTCCCGGTGCAACGATTGCGTTCGTAACCGAACTAAGCGATGATTATCGAGTTGGGAAAATTGCCTGAGACAACTTCAACTCGGCCTCAGAGCTGCACCCTCGACAATTGTGCAAAAGTTGACTCTGACACAAGCGAAGACCAACAGTCAAACCGGCATGAATGGATCCCCCCCCCCCCCCCCTAAACCTGGGTTTTGGTGAGTTTTCTCTGTGAAGAGCCTTGGCATTCCGAAATATTGCATGATACAAGTTCCTGTACCTAAGTTCATCAATACGGGTCAACTCCCTGGCTTCTTTTTTTCAGCAACTAGTATATACCTAGAGCGGAAAAACAAGCATGCAGTGATCACTTGCATATTTTGGAGAAAGTTTCTTTCCTCCGCTTCCTCGGAAAAGTAGGAAGATCCAGGCCGTCAGGGAGAATCTAAGGAGAATCTGAGAATCTCTCTGGCAATATTCAATACATGGTGTATCATGAATGGCTTTACAGTTCCGTTTTTGCTCTTTCGGGTGTTACAACGTAACAACGCATTGCTTTCTAGCATATACACTAGAGGGAAGGTTAGTGTCATCGGAAATGGTCCGGAAACGGTAAAGGCAGTACATGTGAGGCCTCCAAGTAGCGAAGAAACACAAGTTGGTGTTTCGGTTCTTTATACAGGGTGTCCACGAAGTCACTAGCTATGGACAGCTTTTTAATTATTGACTCGAAAGCAGCTATTTATTTTTTGTGTGGAGACTATCTGTAGACCTCGGGAAGGTGTCACATCTTTCTTTCTCCTCTTTTAGTGCAACTGATACTTTTTCTTACCTTTATTGAAAAATAAAAACAAAACAAAGCAGAAGACCGAATAGCCTCTGCACTCCTGAAGAGTAGCGCCACGAGCGACATTTCTCGGGGATGCATAGTTGGGTT